GTTTTAAGAGGGTGTCATTCGCACAAACCAGAGTTGGATGGGATTAATGAAAAATCGGTTTTATTTCAAGAAAAATACAAGATTTATCAGTTAACTGTTTAATTTATGTACCTTAATAAGAATAAATTGTAAATTTTATAAATAAATAAATATATTGGGAACTTTCCTTGACACAAAGATATTGTAATAATATAACCAAGTTGTTCATTATTTTTTGAAATTTTACATAATCGTGGGTGAGGTTACGAATAATAATTATAGAATATGTTAAAATTCATTATGTTTTATTAACCGTTTACGTTTTTTATTCTATTTAATCCATATAAAGTCGATACGAAGTAAATTTTGACAGTGACATAACCTCAAATTTCATTTTTCATTAATTTCTTATTGTAATTCATATTTTTCCGGTTAAAACGATTAAAAACGATAATCTTATCATGTCAAGAACCAAAACCATTCATCTTATACGAGTTTGATGAAGAATTAGACGAAAATTCGTAGATTAAATATTTGAATATATTTTTGAAGCTAGATATTGAAATCTAAAAGAAAATGTTACGAAATCAACACAAACAAAGTTAAAGCAACAAATCTACAACATTTCATGCATAAATATTGTTAAAATAGAAATTACAATAATTTTTGATAAATTTTATTGGTGACATTTGACATTTCGAAGTTGGCAATACCGGAGAAATTTAAATTACGAATTTCAAGTTGAAGAATTTAACCAATCAGAAGACGTTATTTAAAACGTTCTTGCAATAAACAAACGAAACTGGTAGATTTACAATTAGTGTGATTTTGAACGTGATGAGGAGTGCATGCTAATTTTGTCCGCGATCATTTTAACATAACCTCAAAAATAGTTAACTTATTATTTAATAAGTTAAATAAGAAGATTATTTGAATTAAAATTATTCACCTTTAATAATACCATTCCGAAGAATTATTCCAATCAAGAATCAGATTCCTTTTGAAGAGTCCCAGTTTCCTTATCCGAAAACTTCAGTAATCTACAAGATAAGCTAAGTTATAGTTTTCAATTTCATTATTAATCGCTTTTTTTTTTTAATTTCAATCTTCATTTAAAATTTCACTTAAATTAAATATGATTAATTTGAGTTATTATTTTGTTTGATTATGTTATTACAATTTCATTATGTTTAATTCAATTAGATTAATTAATTTACTTCGTATTAACTACAAGTTAAAAGATAATATTATTAATTATTTCGCTGTTAGTTTTGTTACTTATTTATTTTTGTACTTGTTTACTCAAGCGTTGAAAATTTGTTACTATAGTAGAAACCACGAGAGGTGGCAGTGAATCATCGTTTTCCGCTCTTACAAATTCCATACGTAGTAAATTAAAATTCACAAACCGCTAGAGAGCAATGTGTGTTAAGCTAGGTGTCCACTTGAGACTGTTTTAGGTCTCCGAGAGCTTCTATAAAACTTTCGAGAGCTTTCTCTCAGATAGTGTCCACTAATGAAATGTGTCCATGCTATGGAAAGTAAATTTTTTTTCTTCCAGTGTTTGGTGTGTGTAAATATGGATGTAAAAAAAATTGCAAGTGCAATAGTGTTATAAAAAATTTAAAAAAAAAATAACTGTTGGGTGAAACGATGGATTTGGCGCAGATTAAAGCTGGGTGTCAACAAATATCAACATTCGTTATCAAATTGTTAGTTATTTGGCATACTGGATTTACAAAAAGTTAACTCAATTGCTTTAATGGCACTTATAAATGCAAACTATAAGTTAATTGTCGTGCACGTGATAGCATATTAGTGGCTTGGCAGTATTTTGGATAATTATTAGAAAATATAAACCTATACGCCTCAATTGCTGAAAGAGACTAGATATTGCTGGCAGAAGACTAAGTATTACTAATGAAAGACTAGATGTTGCAAATGAAGCAGATTCTTCTTACAGAAGACTGACTGGACACAGTGTGAAGACACTATTATAATACCAGAAGACGAAATACTGTTGGTGGAAGACTAGATATTGCTGCAAAAGACTAGATATTGCTGGCAGAAGACTAAGTATTGCTAGTGAAAGACTAGATATTGCAAATGAAGCACATCCTTCTCACAGAAAACTACAAACTACTACCAAAAAACCAAATACTGTTAGCAGAAGACTTAATTTTACTGTCAGAAGACCAAATTATGTTGTCAGAAGACAAGATATGACCAATGGTACAAATCTCGTTTAAATTTCTATCCAATACTTGTTAAAATTGCATTCCTTGTTTCCCGATGTCTATGTTTCTTAGATTTGATATTCCAAAGAACTGAATTTTCTTCGTACACTTCAATTAATTCAAATATTTAAATAAAATGTAAATGTGTTATATTGAGAAAACTCGTAGCAAAATACGAACCGTGTTCGTTTTTTGACAGTTACTCTCACGATAGATAAATGGTACGTGTCCACTTGAGTACAAGTCTCAACCTGTTCACTCTCCGAAAGTTGGTGGGGACTCTCAGATGCGTGTCCACCAGAAAAAATACTCTCGATAGCTTCTCTCGAGAGCATTTCTCGCAAGTGGAGAGAAGGTGATAAATCTGGCAACGATTCTGGATCGGATGATGAAGTAGATCGTGTGGTATATGATGGCGTTATAAACAGTGATGACACCGATGAAGCCCCACACTACGACCCTGATGCAGACTTAGAGCTGTCAGACGTTTCAAGTATGGATGAAGAACAACCTCTACCACTAGTTAGGAAGAAGAAGAAGACAGTTAGTCTTGTTGTTTCTAATCCACACGTAATGGTTTATGATAAAATTAGTCTCAGAAAGAAAAAATGGGTATTGTTGAACAAACAAACTAACGGCTGCTAGAAATACATCATCGATAGATTGATTTAACCAATCAGAAGACGTTATTTAAAACGTTCTTGCAGTAAACAAACGAAACTGGTAGATTTAATCAGCCCCAGGGATCTTTGATAGAAGAAATTGGAACTGATTGTATGTCAAAATCCCACCGTAAGATGGTATTAGCGTCTATACTGAAATAATTTAATTAAAGTAACAGTTTTATTATTAATAGTGGGAATGATGAGAGACAGCAATAACAATTATTACCAGTATCGTTCCTTTAATTTAAAAAGTATAGATTCCAAATCGTGTTATATTTTTAAATTTGCCGCTAACTTCACCTTTTAAAAGTTGAAGTTTGTTCAGAATGACAGATCAAAACGTCATTTGAAAGTGATTTTTAAGAGTAAGAGTATAATAAAGTAATAATGGTATGATTAAATAATTAGATTATAATTGACATTATTGCTTTGTTTCAGCTAACGTTCGAAACACTTTCCAAACAGTTATTCTGTGGTTGGAGCTTTTATATATAAACCCAATCCAACCTGTATTCTAGTGGTTCGGTTCTTAGCTGAATAATTTCGAAATATCCCCAACAGATGGCGCCACATGCGTTCAATTTTTAGTACGAAGTTTTTTGCATTTCTACGAAGTTTTTTTCTATGGATGTCACTGAAGTAAATGTCAAAATTATAAATAATTTATTCTTCAATAATTTTAAATACATTAAAATAACAACAATAACTTTCCTTATTATAATTAATATCCCTACACTCATATGGCTTATAAATAATAATTCTTGTTCTATTAATTTCAACATCATTTATTGGAATCACCAAACATTTTTTATCACTACCAGCTCTACATTCATAAATATCACATTCAAACTCATTAATTTTCCTTAAAACGTTCAATTCAAACCCAACCTCAACATCATAAACGTTTCCTTTTTCTTTATTCAAATACAATTCGTGTTTCCATATTGCTAAACTCTTCGCTTGATTATCTAAAGCATTTTGTAATTGTCCGGCGAATCCAAACTTTTTAAATCTCCGTTTTCTTTTAATTTTACCAGGTTTAATACTTTCAATGGAAGAATTTGTTGTTTGTGTATTAAAATAATTCGATGATTGACCAAAATCAGATTTTTGCGTATTTGAAAACTGAGAAATTTTATAAGACTCATCTTGATTATAATTTGAGCTTTGCGATGATTCATCTTCGATTAAAACTTCACATTTTGATTTGGTTTCGTTTAAACATAATTTCGTAAAAGTATTTTTTGATTCTAAATTGTTATAAATTTTTTTTTTTACCTTATCGATCTTGCGATTAGTACAAATCACAGGCGAATTTGAGTTAGTATCCGTAATTAATACCGTAGGGGATTCTTGTAATATTAATTTGCGTGAAATCACCGGAGATTCATTGGTTTCAAAAAAATTTTCTTCAATTTTAAATTTCTTTTGTGACTTAAATGGAGCTTCTTCGGAATCTGAACTACTCCAAGATATATTTGGTGATGTTTCCGGGTTTAATTCACTTTTATTTATCACCCAACGCTTCATTTTTAATAAAATTAATTTGTTATATTTTTAGGTTATATTAAATGACAGTTAAAACAGTTTCCTTTACGATTTAGTTTTTATTGTTGATTCTAGATGTCGCTGATGTTAACGTCAAAATTTATTTTAATAAAAACCAATTTTTCTTTTTATATTAATTTATTATTTGAAAACTGAAAGATTTTATAAGACTCATCTTGATTATAATTTGAGCTTAGCGATGATTCATCTTCGATTAAAACTTCACATTTCGATTTGGTTTCGTTTAAAAATAATTTCGTAAAAGTATTTTTTGATTCTAAATTGTTATAAATTTTCTTTTTAACCTTATCGATCTTGAGATTACTACAAATCACATTGAGTTAGTATCCCTAATTAATACTGTAGGGGATTCTTATTAATCACTGCAGATTCATTGATTTCAAAAAAATTTTCTTCAATTTTAAACTTCTTTTATGACTTAAATGGAGCTTCTTCGGAATCTGAATTAATCCAAGATATATTTAGTGATATTTCCGGGTTTAATTCATTCAACGCTTCATTTTTATTGAAATTAATTTATTTATTATATTTTTAGGTTATATTAATTGACAGATAAAAGTTTTCTTTACGGCTTAGTTTTTATTGTAGATTATAGATGTCGCGATGTTAATGTGTCAAAGTCAAAATTTTATTTTCTTTTTAATTCCTTTATTATCGCTTATCTAACACATTCTTTAATTAACATTGATTACTTTTATTATAATATACTGTACACGATGGAAGGACCACGTCTTAATACGTTTCAAAAATTAAATTGATCAATTATGGGTATCGAGAGTGTTTTCCGTCTTGTAAATAGGGGTGGAGGTGCTGATAGGGGTTTGCGATACCACAATTATATAAGTTGAGCATATCTGTGTAAGCGAGATGGTGAGTTTCGGGTTTTGTGCTAAGATTTTCCGCGCGAAGATGATTTTGATGAGATTTCGATTCCAAATGATTACCATAAGCCATGTTAAATAAAGCCTCTGGGTCGCAAACGAATTTATAAACGTATCTTTCACCTAAAACGAAAAGTTTTTTAAATCTTTTTAACGTTCTTTGTTTTGTTAATTTTACCAGCAACTTTTTGCATGATTCCTTTTTCGTAATAATACCTCAACGAGCGGCTTAATTTATCGTAATTCATTGCGGGGCGATTTTTTTGGGCGCCCCATCTCCTTGCTACCTAAAAAAACGCAATAATAACTGATTATGTTTTTATTATTAGGTGTTATTTTGGTGCTAACTTCTTCGGGTTCGATTAATTTGAACTCCATTCCACGTCCGGTCCAAGCAATACATCCAGCGCTAACATCCGGTGCATCTAAGAGTGTTACCAAAAATTGCCATAATTGCAAAGAACCCCTTCTTCCGGAACTTTGAAGATTTGTGACAGTTTTTGGTTCTTTCTCATCATTTTGCGACTTCCACGGTGATTTCGTCGAAATTAAGGATTTATTTCTGTCATATGAGAACCTATTAGCACCTTAAGCAACAAAAAAATAATTTAAATCAAAATCGGCTTATACAGGTGTGTCTAAATTGATGCGAAAGATTTTAAGGGTGATTTTTCAACGAAAATTATGCCCCTTCTCCTCCAAGTTATAGCCCTCTAAAGTTAAGAGTAAAAATCTGCAACTTTCTTATCTCTTGACATTTTACGACTAACAAATTGTTAGTTTGATCACAAAAAATAAAATAATGCTGAGATCAATTTGACATAACTTCATTTTTTTCTTCATTTTCAAACTAACAATTTTAGGAGAAAATGTCAAGAGACAAAAAAGTTGCGTATTGAATCAAGTTTTTAAATAGAAAAATGTAGACTTATTAAAAAGTTCTAATACAAAATATTATGGGATTGATTTTTTCAGCCTCTCTATCTGCCAATATTCCCCCATAGTGGATTTATTAAATAAAAACAATTTTTTCCCCTAATTTTACAGGGCTGTAACTTGGAGAAGAAATGGTTTTGACCAAAAAGTTATATGAAAGACCCCTTAATTTTCGCTGAAAAATCATCTTTCGCGTCAATTTAGATACACCCTGTAAGTACGAAGGCTTTTACGGGCGGTATTAATTCAATTAAAACCAGAACTAGCACTAGAGCTAGAACTAGAAACTTGCCGGGTTTTGGAATGGGTTCATAGTTATCTCATGTTGTTCAAAATCATTGAAAACCGATTGGGCATCGTTTAATAGTTGTCTAAATGATTAACAACTAGTTGATAGTCATTGAAAACTTGTCTAAATGTATAAGGGCTTGTTCATAGCAAGTCGAAGTTGCTCAAAACTACTGAAAATTGCACCAACATTCTCCAAAATTGGTTTATGAGGAAGCAAGTTTGTTCAGAATGATTGAAAATGGTTTCATAGCTATCTCATGTTGTTCAAAATCATTGAAAACCGATTTTGCATCGTTTAATATTTGTCTAAATGATTAACAACTAGTTTGTAAACAATCCATGTTGCTCAAAGTGATTAAAAACTAGTTGATAGTCATTGGAAACTTGTCTAAATGCATAAGGGCTAGCTCATAGCAAGTCGAAGATGCTCAGAACTACTGAAAATTGCACCAACATTCTCCAAAATTGGTTTATGAGAAAGCAAAATTGTCCAGAATGATTGAAAATGGGTTCATAGCTATCTCATGTTGTTCAAAATTATTGAAAACCGATTGGGCATCGTTTAATACTTGTCTAAATGATTAATAACTAATTTGTAGATAACCCATATTGCTCAAAATGACCAAAAACTAGATGATAGTCATTGAAAAATTGTCTAAATGTATAAGGGCTAGTTCATAGTAAGTCGAAGTTGCTCAGAACTATTGAAAACTGCACTCACAATGTCCAAAATTGGTTTATAATGAAGCAAAATTGTCTAAAATGATTGAAAATGGGTTTATAGCTATCTCATGTTGTTCAAAATCATCACCGATCGGGCATCATTTAATACTTGTCTAAATGATTAACAACTAGTTTGTAAAAAGGCAATGTTGCTCAAAATGACTGAAAACTAGTTGATAGTCATTGAAAACTTGTCTAAATACACTGTTGGAAATAATTCACGAGCACATCCTATATAATCTGAACGCGTGAAGATAAATCCATACTATTTGCGGAGCACAAAGATTTACTGTAGACGAGTTTATTCAGGGAGTTTCGAGTTGTTCCGTCGCGGCATTGTTGACTGAGCCGCCCTTCCAAGTGCAACATTCCGTCGCTATGGAGACCGAAGTGGATGGAAAATACCGGTCGTTTTTGGTGTGGTGTGAGGGACCACATTGTTATCGTACTCTGTGCGCAATGGATGGACGATCGCGTTACTTAAGCGAGTTTGAGTGAGGAATGTTTGTGGGTATGCACATTGAGGGTGTATCGTTCTGTGAAATTGCGCGTCGTCTCGAGCGGTCGTTATCGGCAGTGCAACGGGCATGGTGAGAATGGTCTGAGGTAGGACATAGGTACCTTTACCCGCGGCCGGGACGGCCCTGCGCGTTCCCATCACACGAGGATCGCGCTCTTGTGCTTAGCGCTTTAGCGTCGTGTGTGTCCTCCTCAAGGCAACTTGGAGCTGTTTGGCCACTGGCAGGGGAAGGCGCACTCACTACGCGAACTGTACGGCGGCATTTGGTAGATAGTGGACTGGCGCGCGCGTCGTGCGATACAGCGGATTCCAGTAACACCCGAGCACCGCAGCCTACGTCACGAGTGGGTCGACGCTAGGCATTAGTAGGTTGCCGAGTAGAGGGACATTTTGTTTTCCGACGAATCAAGATTCGAATTGAGCACCGGTGATGCGCGAATTTTAGTTCGTCGGAGCCGTGATGATCGTCTACTCGAGCAGAGTCTGCAAGAACGCCCTATCCACCGACAACTGAGCATTATGGTATGGGGTGCGATTACATATGGTGGACGTACACGTCTGCTGCGTGTATAGCAGACCAAGACGGGTCAACGATACGTAGATGAGGTGCTACGGTTCGTTGTGCTTCCCTACGTTCGGCGGCTCCCAGGTCTGCTATACATGCACGATAAAGTACGACAGCACATCGGGCGTGTTGTACAGACCTTTGTGGAAGAGCACCGCATACGAATGCTTCCATGGCTAGCTCGGACTCCGCATCTGAATCCGATCGAACATGTTTCGGACATGACTGGTCGGAGACTTCTACGTTATCCGGCTTTCTCGGCTAACGTTGAGGAGCTATGGAGGCGAGTTGAGGTGGCATGGTTGGCCATCCCTCTCGCTTCAATACAGCGACTTTTAGACTCCATGCCACGTCGTGTAGCGATGGTACGCGAAGCTCATGGGGGATATTCTCGCTATTGATCTTTCTCCTCCCAGCAGAGTTATGCCGTTCTCCATGTGAGAGTAAGTTACACTACTTTAGTACTACTTCTATACCAAATTTTATTGCGCTAGACACACGCGTTCAGATTATACAGGGTGTGCTCGTGAATTATTTCCAACAGTGTAATATAAGGACTAGTTTATAGCAAGTCGAAGTTGCTCAGAACTACTGAAAACTGCACCAACATTGTCTAACATTGATTTATAAGGATGTAAAATCTTCCAAAACGATTGAAAATGGGTTCATAGCTATTTCATGTTGTTCGAAATCATTGAAAACCGATTAGGCATCGTTTAATACTTGTCTAAATTATTAATAACTAGTTTGTAAACAATCAATGTTGCCCAAAATGACTAAAAAGTAGTTGATAGTCAGTTGAAACCTTGTCTAAACAATTAAGAACTTGTTTGTAAACAATACATGTTGCTCAAAATGACTAAAAACTAGTTGGTAGTCATTGAAAACTTGTCTAAATAATATAAGGACTACTTCATAGCAAGTCGAAGTTGCTCAGAATTACTGAAAGCCGCACCAACATTGTCCACAATTGATTTATAAGGAAGCAAAATTGTCCAAAATGATTGGAAATGGGTTCATAGCTATCTCATGTTGTTCAAAATCATTGAAAACCGATTGGGCATCGTTTAATACTTGTCTAAATGGTTTACAACTAGTTTGTAAACAATCCATGTTGCTAAAAATGATTAAAAACTAGTTTCCAAATAATGGGATAGAGATTCATTGACATGGGAATAACATCTTCTTAAATAATTCCTTATGACATTACGAATTTCCACTTTTAATTCTTTTTTTGTGGTTAAGATTATGTAACAAATTAAATTAAAAGCCTGTACAGCAAGTACTAAACGGATGGGTATAATATAAGGCGATAGCCGAAATCCAACGTCAATTAGAGGGAACTATAGAAATATGCAATAATGGCCTCAAACAGAAAGAAATGATCTTGAATGTGGATAAAAACAAAATAATGCACATAACGAAGGAGCAAAATGAAACACATACATTAAGTACCAAGTCAGCAAAGGTCAGCAACGACGAAAGTTGCTTATGAATCTTTTATCATTGGTTGGGACATCGGAAGCAAACTACAGCTTATTCGTGATGACGAACCGGAGACAACATGAAGAGGCATTAGAGGTCGTAGCTATGGAGAAGCCAGGACAAAAGAACAATCTCAGAACTAATTTTGGGGAACAGTGATATATGGCAAGCAAAGTAACGCGAACTACAACAAGTCGTACAGCCAAAACAGAAGGAGAGTTACTCAGCCGCACATGGAAGATGCTAGTTAACTCAACAAAATCCTGTCTACCCGAATTTGACAAAAACAACTTAGTTGACAACCTCAGCGGTAAGGTATATTAAGTCACAAATTCAAAATTGTTAAGGAGAGAGACATTTGGGGATTTTTAATTTTAATTAACAATTTAAAAAAAAAGGTTGGCAGTTAATGGGTTAATGTTTAAACAAATACACATGGTGGAGATCTCATTTCGCAAAAAATGTGAGTTAACACACTTTACCTCTGAGGTGCTGATATTTATTGTCAAACTTTAACCGATTTCGTCACTTCGAACTTGTTTCTGAAAAAAGTTACAACTAGTTCTAGGTCTAGTGTTAGTTGTAGTTTAATAAAATCGGCTTAGTTTTTGAGTGTGTTTAGAATAACATGGGGGTTAATTCGAAAAGGGTTAATTTCGGTTGTGTACAAAGGGGTCGTTGAAGATATTAATTGAACCTAATCAATATTAATAAAGTTTAAAGGCATTACACGCCATGGGGATGTGTGTACTTTGGGGTTTAACTAGAATTTCGATACCCAGCGTATTAGAGAGAGATGTTGTAACAAGGTTTGTTCGGCAAACACGTGTTTGTTTGAATTTTGGATGGTCACGTGGGGTACTCTCCGATAATTAACATCCCAAACTCGATTTTGCGGCAAATTAACACTGAAATATAATAAATAGAAATTTTGAAATTTGAATATTTAATAAAACTAAATCTACCCTCACAAAATAATGCACTTAGACACCCAAACCACAAAACCGATTCCGAGGGGGTGCTTCTTAATCGCGGAAGAATCAATTTTTGATTTTCTATGAACGTCGTTCGTTTTGAATTTGCATCACGTCCTCTCGACGCCACACCCCTCCCGATCCGGGAAATTGTGTTCTTCCGGGAGAAAAAATCCGCAACTGAAAAATAAGGAAATAAAGAATTACTCACTCTCAAATTCCCGCTCGGCAGGTTCCTGTTTTATTGGCAATTGAGTCAAATTCGGTTGCGGGGAAGACGTCCCAGGAACGGAATCCGTCGAGGTTTGTCTTAAAGGTGACGTTCTATTTCATTAAAACAACATATCATTAAAAAAAAACAAACAAGATTAAATAAATTACCTATTATAGAAATTCGCGCTGTATAAACACCCTGTATGTTGATAACTCGCCGAGTATATCCCTTCGAAAGTTTCGCCAACTTGATAAACTGGGTGGTGATGGGAATATGAAGTTTTTGATAAATTTTGAATCAATTCAGAAACGTTATTTTCTGGTTTAACATCTTTAAATAAAAAATAATTAAGTTACACACTATAAGAAAAGGTAAAGATTAATCCTTAGTATTCCATTAAAGATTTTCTATTAACCTATCTCTCCTTGTCGATCTTGTCGATTTTCTGGGAGGACTTTTCAAAAGAGTAAAATGACTCCGAGCTATATAAAGAAACGTGAGGGGGGTGGCGTGCACGCGAAGCGCAACGTAACACACGTTGCTACGATGTCGTCGGAGTAATTTGGGTGCACGCTGCGACGAGAGATCACCTGTCACAAGTTCTTTCTGGCAACATAAACGGCGTCGTTTAATATTTTGTATACGCCGAGTTAGGCGGTGGCGACGGGGGGCTCCTTTCCATTTCGGCGCCCCCCTTTTACGTGAAATCCCATCGCGAAACCGCAAAGTTTGGTTGTTATAAACGTTAAATGCAACCCTTTATAGTTCGAAAGAGTATTAAACGTTTTGAATTGAAAACCGGATTGGATGTAAGATTAAAATAGTATTTACATAAAAGAATTTAAATTTTGAGGTTATGTTGGAACTGTCAAATGTGACAATTAAATTACGTTTATAAAAAAATGTAATTATTTAAAACAATAATTAGTTTTAATAGTTTAAAATCGTTATGTTGTATGAAATTAATAATTTTAAAGAAATTTAAAAATAAATTAATTAATAAAAATAAAATTTGAAATTTCTTTAAATTTTAGTTGGTATCATTGCAGAACTATGAAGTCATTCAATACAAACAAAGATGCTCGTTCGAGAGGTAAATCGCGTAAATCTTCTTAAATCACCTATAAATCGATTTAATCGGGCTTTATTTTATATTCCCACATCTCCAGGTAATCAACAATTTCAATTAATTCATTTCATTACACAATAATTCAATTTTATAACATTTTAACCTCAAATTCAAACCATAATTTTTTTTATTAATAACTTTGTTTTATACGTTAAAAAACTGTTAAACGTATTTGTTTAAGATAATAATAAAATTTTATTAATAATTTATTTACTTTAGAAATGAAATAAATAAAAAATAAATCTTTAGATTTAAGTTGGTAATAAATTTATGCTAATTTTTAATTTTTTTTTTTAGTTTTAGTTGGTATCATTGCATAACGAAGTTCTTCAATACAAACAAAGACGATCTTTCAAGAAGTGAATAAAATTAAGCGTAATTCTTCTTAAATCCCCTATAAATCGATATCCTTTATTAATCGGGGTTAATTTTATATTCCCACATCTCCAGGTAATCAACATTTTTAATTAATTCCTTTTATTACTCAATAATTTAATTTTATAACATTTTAACCTCAAATTCAAACCACAACAATTTTTTTAATTATTAGTATTAAAAGTAATTGTTTAAAATAGTAATTTGTTTTAAAACATTTTGAAATTTTATTAATAATTTAATTAGTTTTAGAAATGAAATAAATAAAAAAATAAATCTTTAGATTTAAGTTGGTAATAAATTGACGCGTTGATACCAAAAAGTGGATTAATCATAAAATATAATTTTTGACACCAACTTTAAAGGAACCTGGAGATCGAATTAAAGTAAATTCAAAAATGGGTTATGGTGCAAATTAAAATTTATAAAGTCCTCTTTAATTTGATATAAGAATCATTTCTTAGATCGCATTAATTCATTAGTTATAAATTTTTAAAGAAATTGTTGATTTTTAGGTTATGGTGTAAATGTCAAAATCGAAACCAAACTTTAAAAATTCACCCAGACTTTATTTATTTGAGCTAAGAAACGATTTATACATCAAATTAAAGTTTGAAATCTCCTTTTTGATTTGGTATAAATCCCATTTCTTGGTTAATAGAAATTAGGTAGCTACGATGTTTTTAAGATTATACGAAAAAGTGAATTAATCACAAAATATAATTTTTAATACCAACTTTAAAGGAACGTGGAGATCGAATTAAAGTGAATTAAAAAATGGGTTATGGTGCAAATTAAAGTTTATAAAGTCCTCTTTAATTTGATATCGGAATCATTTCTTAGATCGCATTAATTCATTAGTTACAACTTTTTAAAGAAATTGTTGATTTTTAGGTAATGGGGTAAATGTCAAAATCGAACCCAAACTTTAAAAATTCACCCAGACGTTATTTTTGGGAGCTAAGAAACGATTTATACATCAAATTAAAGTTTGAAATCTCCTTTTTGATTTGGTATAAATCCCATTTCTTGGTTGATAGAAATTAGATAGTTACGATGTTTTTAAGATTATACCAAAAAGTGAATTAATCATTAAATATAATTTTTAACACCAATTTTAAAGGAACGTGGAGATCGAATTAAAGTGAATTCAAAAATGGGTTATGGTGCAAATTAAAGTTTATAAAGTCCTCTTTAATTTGATATCGGAATCCTTTCTTAGATCGCATTAATTCATTAGTTACAACTTTTTAAAGAAATTGTTGATTTTTAGGTTATGGGGTAAATGTCAAAATCGAACCCAAACTTTAAAAATTCACCCAGACTTTATTTTTGGGAGTTAAGAAACAATTTAAACAATTAAAGTAATAATTTGTTTTAAAACATTTTGAAATTTTATTAATAATTTATTTACTGTTAAAAATGAAATAAATAAAAAAATAAATCTTTAGATTTAAGTTGGTAATAAATTGACACTAAATTTTATTTTTTTTTAGTTTTAGGTGGTATCATTGCATAACTTAACCTGAACTTAACGCTCTTCAATACAAACAAAGACGATGTTTCAAAAAGTGAATAAAATTAAACGTAATTCTTCTTAAATCACCTATAAATCGATATCCTTTATTAATCGGGCTTTATTTTATATTCCCATATCTCCAGGTAATCAACATTTTCAATTAATTCCTTTTATTACTCAATCATTCAATTTTATAACATTCCTAACCTCAAATTCAAACCACAACAATTTTTTTAATAATAACTTTGTTTTATATGTTAAAACAGTTTCAAACGTAATTGTTTGAAATAGTAATTTGTTTTAAAACATTTTGAAATTTTATTAATAATTTATTTACTTTTAGAAATGAAATAAATAAAAAAATAAATCTATAGATTTAGGTTGGTTATAAATTTACGCTAATTTTTAATTTTTTTTTTTAGTTTTAGTTGGTATCATTGCATAACAAAGTTCTTCAATACAAACAAACACGATCTTTCAAGAAGTGAATAAAATTAAGTGTAAATCTTCTTAAATCACTCATAAATCCCATCTCCAGGTAATCAATATTTTCAATTAATTGCTTTCATTATTCAATAAATCAATTTTATAACATTCCTAACCTCAAATTCAAGTTAGTTAAAGTGTTAAACGTAATTCTTCAGACGCACGGCTAAACAAATGTTTCTAGTTCTTGGTCTAGTGTTAGTTCTAGTTTTACACTAACACTATCACTAGAACTAACACAAGACTTAGAACTAGAATCATTCGGGTTTAGCCGTCTTGAGAGACTTGCGGCTAAACCCGAATGTTTCTAGTTCTCGGTCTAGTGTTAGTTCTAATGGCAGTGGTAGGTAGTGCTAGTTAGCATAAGATATTACTATGTTGTATATTTTTATTGAACTAAAACTAGAACTAACACTAGACCTAGAACTAGAAAGTATCGGGTTTAGCCATAGTGATACTTCTTTTTGGCACTTTAATTTGAAAACATAAATAAAAAAATAATTCTTTAGATTTAAGTTGGTAATAAATTGACACTAAATTTTTATTTTATTTTTAGTTTTAGTTGGTATCATTGCATAATTTGACGTTCTTCAATACAAACAAAGACGATCTTTCAAGAGGCTAATAAAATTAATCAAAAATCTTCTTAAATCACCTATAAATCGATATCCTTTATTAAATCCAGGTTAAATTTATATTCCCTCATCCCCAGGTAACTAATATTATCAATTATTTCCTTTAAATACTTAACAATAAACGTTTATAAATTTCCTAACCTCAATTCTTTTTTCGTTAAAAATAAAAATTTCTTTTAAAACGAGGTTATTATATGAATCATTCTTTCACGTTTAAGCAGTGTCTTGCATAACACTGTATGGTACGCGATTTTTTTTTTAATTCTTAACCAAACAGACTTGTATGTTGACTTTGAGGGTTGGGGTGACGGCGCGTTCTGATTAAAAATTGTTGCCGCCGGCGTAAAGCGATCACCCTATACACCCAGCTTTTAATAAAGATACTCAATATTATAACTATATTTTTTTTTATTTATAGGTACTTACTATTGATTGTTGAAGATGTTTGAAAATCCGTATCTGGTACGTATTGTTCGCTATCGTCGGTTTCACAGCTATTTCCTGGATGTAATAAACGATTGAAAACAAAATTTTATTACCAGCGAAATTAACAAGGTCATAACATTGATATCGGGGGCAGTTTCATCCCCCTTTCGACCTTTTCGGGGGTTAAGTGGCGCTCCCATTTACGACTATTAATTATGCAGGACCCCTGTATTACTTACCTTCTTGGTGCCAGGACTCCCTCCAGTCCGCCGGGAATCCTGCTGCAATGAAATAACAACAGGTTTACTTTATTTTCTTTATTTCTATTTGTCTACAAACTCCTTTAAGTTAATTATTCAAAAATCAAAGATTAACTTACCGGAATTTACTTTGTAGTTTTCTTGATTTTGATAACATTGCGTTGTTATTGTTGAGCCCAAAATAGTTCCCTTAAATAAAAAAAAAAGTTTTTAACCTAATTATCACCTTTCCCATCTTTAAAAGTTGTTCTTTTACTCCACCCTATTTCTTCGTACCCCCTCAAAAACGATTTATAATTACCTCATTTCCTAATTAAACTCATTTACCTTCGATTTACAATTAGATTCTCGTTTATTCCCCAACGATTAAAAAAAATTTAAGAAACTTAATAACAATTTTCAAAAATAGATCGGGTAATTAACGATGTTGTTGGATAGCAACAAAAAAAGATGGCTCTTTTTTTAGACAGTGCTGGAACAATGCGTAAAAAGACACACAAAGGGCCCCCCTACTGTTTGCTATAGTCATCGATGTTATTACGTTAATTGACCGACACCTATACAATTCGAGGTAACCCCCCGTCTAGTTTTCGTGTCAACCCCTGTCTGTTTCGTTATCGTCATTGTCACTTCTTCTGTGGGGTTTATTTCGTAATGGCATGCGCGATCAATTTGTCGCCAAATCAAATATAGTGTTGTGGATTGATTGAATTTTATTTTTAGATTTAAGTGAAGTTAGGTTTGGGATAGTTTAGTAGGTCATTAGAACAAATTTGAAATTATATTTATGTATTTGATTTTTCTTTTTTTTTAGGCAATGAGTCTAAAATCGTTCTAAATTCAAGATTCAACTAAAGATGGGGCACAACTTGAAGACATCAGAAAATGATTTATGAAATAGGTGAGTTTTTACACATTTACTCAACTTAAATTTGTATAACTTGTTAATACTACTCCAGTTGGTTCTTAACTGGCACTGATGCACTGCCAATGTTTGCAAAACATCCATCGTCTATGGCAATCAGCCAAAGTTAAAATATATTATGTTTTTGTAAAATGTAAAGCAACTGTGGAACCTGCTATGGTGATTCTTTTGCCAATTACAAAGGCTGTGCAGTTCACCAAAACTGATATTTACCGTTAAAAGCAGAACTAGCAAAAGAAAATCTTACACTATTTCAGTTTGGTTGCAAAAGACTTATAGAAGATAAAGTAAAAATTTGCCACTATTCTTTTTCTTTGAGAATCGAACATTCCATTTCAACACCACTTTGATAACAAAACTTTAATAAAACTACCTCATCAACTACACCAAGTAAGTCGTGGCACCGAATTTGCTGAATTCATGATTCAAGGATTGTTGATGACATTGCTATAATTGCCCGAAACGACACCAACGATAATTATTTCATTATAAAGTAATATTGGTATCATATAGATGGACGCTGCGAAGAGTACGAGAGTTACCAAAAGTTTTCAAAGTGCAACAAAGAATCGTTTAGGAATGAAAACTACCTCGAGTCTCTCATGATAGCTGTCATAATTAAAAATTAAGGTGGCTAATTACTTCATTACAAAATAATATTGATGTTATAACCAAGTGGGCTAATAACTGGAAAATTACTCGACCAAAACCAATATTGAGATGATCACGCAAGTTACATCCTCTCCTAAATTCCCATTCAATGTTGACTAAATAGGTTTACTAACCTATTCATGATGCGCATAGATAAACACTTCCAAAACAAATCTATATAAATTACAACCTTCTCAATATGTACATTTTCTAACTTTCAAAATACAGGGTTACTACAAAAGAATCATCGGGTGCATCTCGTCCAAATCACGTTCGCTGTTGTCAAAATGGCTATGTAACTGAAAGCGTTTTGTGTATTAGAGTACGCGCGATAAGGAATATCAAATTAATCCTCCAGGTCATCAGAGCATTTTACGATGATATCGACAATTCAAGACCACGAGTACCTGATGCAACAGTGGATACGGTTAAAAAATGTTTCGTGTGTTCGCCACAAAAGTTTATGACTAAATGACTATATCAAGCGAACCGAGTTTTAGACTAACATGCAAGAAGCAAAATTGTACTAACAAGTGTCTGGTGTCCAACGACGAAGCAACATTTCATTTAAGTGACAAGGTGAACTGTTATAACGTTCGGATATGGGGAACGGAAAATCATTATTCCAACAACTTTATATACCAACAAGATGAGTATAATGAGATCCGCTCTCCCTCACTGTTGGATAGGCTGGCGTGCTGAAATAGATTTGGAATTGTTTGCTTGGCCTCCCAATTCTCCTGATTTTACACCGTGCGAGTTTTATTTCGGGATACATTAAAGACAAGGTTTTTATACCACCACTACTTACAACACTGAGTGAACTTTGAAAACACATTGCTGTGTGTATGGGCTGAACTTAACTATTGTTGCGCTAAAACTTGAGTATTTTCTCTATTTATAGACATGTCATTTACTATTCTATCTGATTCTTTTGTACTAACCCTGTATATTTGTAATAATCAATATGAGAATAGTAACAAATGCACCGTGTTATAATATATAGAGAACTAAATATGTCAAAGATGACTAATTATAGTATTACAACTTATCCTACTGCGTAGGTTGTAGCCAACTCATCCACTAACAACAACAATAAAAGCAGTGAAGAATAGTCTATTAATCATATACTCTGCATAACACAGAGATCTTTGTTATACTTTGATATATCTTTGATATACTTTGTTGCAATTTATCTGGTTTTTGGCCGAGACGTATAAGAAAAAACTACAAACGAACAAATACAGATATGACATGGCTAGTAACAAAAATTTAATCGTGCAGCTTCGTTATCTACAGCTGAAATTTGAAATTAAAATGAAGAAATCGATGTATGACACTACAAAAGACGATAATTTGTGGAGTACAAGCTGTTCACAGTTTCTAATCCAAGATCATATTAATTTAATCCAAGATTTCAACGTTGAGATTCTTTGTGAACACTCAACATTTTTGCAAAACATCTTTTGCCAAAACCACATTGTTGATCGTTTTACAGACTCATTAGTTGGACCGCGTTGTACATCACTTGACTAAGCAACATTTTATCGTTTTTAGAGATTTTTCATGCTGTCTGGTAGGTAAAGGTATAACTTATCAAAGGAAGACAGGAGAAAGACCTACGATACTATTTGTTTTAAAGGATAAAGCTAAGCGCCAATCACGTTATACGATTTCAAGTCCGATTTGCATCATACGTCTAAGAACCGACTTAGATACGACACTTAGATACACCAAGAAATTCTACAATAGAATTTAGAAAAAATAGATGAACCTACAATTTTGGGCCAGTGTCGTTTTCTAGATGTTAGTATAAAATATAAAAGTTTATGTCTTTAATATTATATAGAATTTAAGTCTAATTAGTTTCAACCCTTGGCCATTTTTAGAGGCTCTACAAATAGATTAACATCTCTCATCTTATCCATTTTACAAAGGACAGCGGTAGGTAGCGTTAGTTAGCATAAAATATCACTATGTTGCATATTTTTATTGCACTAAAACTAGAACTAACACTAGAACTAGAAAGTTTCTATTCGAATATTTCTATTTCTAGGTCTAGTGTTAGTTGTAATTTTACACTAGCACTATCACTAGAAGTAACACAAGACATGGAACTAGAACTATTCGGGTTTAGCCGTCTTTAGAGACGTGCGGCTAAACCCAAATGATGCCAGTTCTAGGTATAGTGTTAATTCTACATAGTAATAATGCTGGTGTAAAACTAGAATTAACACGGCTAAACCCTAGTGTTTTTAGTTGTAGGTTGGTTTTAGTTCTAGTTTTACACTAACACTATCACTAGAACTAACAGAAGACATATCACTTGAGAGACGTACGGCTAAACCCTACTGTTTCTAGTTGTAGGTCTAGTGTTAGTTCTAGTGGCAGTGGTAGGTAGCGCTAGTTAGCATAAGATATTACTATGTTGTAGTAGTATATTTTTATTGAACTAAAACTAGAACAAGAACTAAAAACATTTGGGTTTAGTAGTGAAAAAAACTGTCAGTTGTCAATGTCAATGTCAAAATCGAGGTTGACATTTTAAACCTGAAGGTAGTTATCATAAAATAGACAAATGGACAACTTCATGGTGTTCTTTCATGATGTATTCTTTATTAAAAAAACTTTAAAATGAGACCAAACTTGACGCATTTATCTCAAAAAACCAAAAAGTTCGAACTTTCAACTTTTAATTTTGACATATTTGTAAAAATCCTTTAAAATGAGTCCAAACTCGACATATTTAACTTTAATATTAATGGGGATGTAATCACTTCCGGTTTGAAACGTCAACGTCAATTTTGACGTATTTGTCATCTTCATTAAAAAACCTTTAAAATGAGTCCAAAGATGACGCACTTATCTTAAAATACAAAAAAGTTCGCATAAAAAACATTAAACCTGAAGTTAGCAACATTGAAGATAGTAATTTAATTTGTAAATATTAATACCAACCTTAATTTTTTATTTTTTTTTGTTATATTTTTGTTTTTGTGACAAATATTTAGACATTTTATAAAAATTAAGAACATGTCAAAATGACATTGACATTTCAAACCGGAACTTGCTTATATCTCGAGTAATATTGGAATTAAATGTATCATGTTTGGACTCATTTTAAAGGATTTTTCACGACGATTACAAATATGTCAAAATTGACGTTGACATTCTTAACCGGAAGTTGACTATAGCTTCATTAATATTGAAGATAAATATGTCGTGTTTGTACTTATTTTAAAGGATTTTTAATGAAGATTACAAATATGTCAAAATTGAGGCTGACATTTTAAACCTGACGTTAGTTATCATATAATAGAAGTTTTATAATTGAAGTTAATTCCGCACTTTCTTTTCCAAGTTTCTTAACATTTCTTTTGTTAAAAAAGAGCGTTCTTAAATTTTAATCTGTAAACTTGTAACACTTCGTCCTTAATTACATTTTACAACTTTTTAAACTTTAATTTTGTAAATTAGTAACTAATAATCTGACTTCGACTTTGATATGTGATCTTTTTTAAGAAATATTAAGAAACTTGTTTGTAAAATGGATAAGATGAGAGATTTTAGTCTATTTGTAGAGTCTCTGAAGATGACCAAGGGCCGAAACTGGTTAGACTTAAATTTTATATAAAATAAAAATCAGTTTAAAAGTACAAAATCAAACTCTAGATTATTTTCTTCAAAAATTTTGTATAATCGTAAAACGTAACGTGTGATCAAACAATTTTCAATAGTTTGAGCCTGTCTATTCTGAGAAGTCTTATATTTTGTTTTATTTCTCAACATTATTTATTTGTCGCTTAGTCAAGTGATGCATAACGTGGCCCATTTACTAAACAGCAAGATTATTTACACTGCTTTTGACCCCTCAACTGAAGCTGAACTCAAGATTTGAACTTTGAACTCAATTGGAATGGGGTGGTCTTGGCTCAAGCATTCCAAGAAATTTTCAATGTATAGACTAAAAAAGTTGTTGGTATACAAGAAGTTTTGATGTAATGAGTTTGGATACAACTTCAGCGATTTTATCTGCTGACAATAATTTATGCCTGTACAACTGATTGATTTTCAAAAAGAATGAAAAAAGAAACTTACCAATCTAGTAATATCCCCGCTATTCGCAGGAACCTCTTGATCCTGCTGCTCCATTTTCCCTATTCCAAGAAAAAGAAAACTCAACACAACATAACTTTTAAACAATACAAAAACTCCCTAAATAAACTTGTACTTATACAATAACCGGGTCGTATGTAAGAGTGTCCTTCGGAAACCTTCAGCAGGAAATGATGCGACCCTTCAACATCACCTTCTTGCCGCCGCCACCACCTGTCGCGATGGTAGGGGTGCAAACACACCCCTATCGCGGTGACACGCCCTCTCGAAGCCTCCCTCCTCTACTAACTAGTAAGCTCCCCAGAAATGACGATGCGGGCCGTTTAACCCCATTGTCCATGCATCATTTAGACGATTTTAAGTAGCAGGATATCGGAGGAACTAACTAAAATTATTTTGATAAGGGGTTAAAAAAAAATTTTAATTTTATTATTAACAGTAACAATGAACTTTTCGAGTTAATTAGTTTTTTTAATTACAACTCAATTTTTAATTACACATTTACAATACAATTTTTTTGTTTCATTTTACTTTCAATGAAACATTAAGTCAAAAATTAAACAAAAATTTCCCCCCAAACAAATAAAATATAGAAATTGTATCCTTTTATTTAAAAAAAAAAATAAATCGGAAGTGGTGGCTTTTGGACCGGAACCTCGGGGCGTGGTCTAATGTCATTGGCGTTGCGCGACCCCCCGCGGACCAATCGCACTTCCGGTCGGGCTCATTAATGCGTACCCTGCCGCCCTTCGAAACGATGGGGTGGCACGGGCCGTGGAGGCGGCTTTCGGGGTTTTGGGAGCTGAAACGACCCCTTCAACTGTTGCGCTCCATCCCCGCCGTTAATAATTCAAACGTTAATTAGCCAGACCCTGACGGGAATTATTCAAACTCGTTCGGCCTTCGCGAATAGTAATATTTGATTTTTGGCTATAACCGTATAACGAACAGAAATATAATTATTAATTTGTTTCATAGGAAGTGTTATTACTTATTAACTCATTACATTACATAAATCATATATCGAATAGGCGGACCAACCAACTTTGCAGTACAACCTCAAAGATTTATTTGTACCCCGATAAATGAGGATAATTTATTTCCAAAAAGTTACAGATCGTTAGATACAGTATTTGTATTTGCTCCCTTAATCTCTTTTTGCAATGGAGCATTGATGTAGTTGTATCTATAAGTTAAGGTAGTCAGTCGATGGGATGGAATTTGTAGAGATGAGTTTTTCCTCGCGCTGTATTGATGATATTGCGTTCTACACGATGTGTCGTGTTCATTCATGTTTTGTTTTATCGAAATAAGACATCTATAGATATAGAGCTAATAGACAGTAATTATTTTTAATTCTTTAAAGAATGGTTTACAGCTCTTCATTTGATTTGCATTCATCAAAGCTTTAATAACAACTAAGAGTGAGTTTAGACATGCATGGATTTAGTGACGCCAATAAAAACTGGCACGCCAGTAAAATTAAATTGCAAGTGTTAACATCAACTGTCATGCAAGTTGAAATCATGCATGCATTGGTCAGAAAAGTCTGCACCCTTCTGAAATCACTAGCGCCAGTGATGAGTCTGAAAACAGGTAACCATGACAACATAGATGAGTATCAACAAAAACACTTAATTGTTTAATGTCAAATTTAGGTCATGTTTCATTGCATTTAAATTAAATCCCAATTACGTTGACACATTCAACGATAACGATTAATTATCCACATTAAACCTAGAATATATCTATTTTCGTTTCGGTTGAGGTCTTAATTTGTGTATATAGTTATAGTTTATATAGTTTATTATGGCCAGAAAAAGTGGTTGGCAGAACTGGCGTGTCACTTATTTTTGTTTTGGCACTTGTAGTGTAAACCTTTACTAAATCCATACATGTCTAAACCCACCTTAATACTAATAAAGTGTTTATTGAGCCAAAAATAATGATAACAAAAACACGACACAAAATTATTTGAACAGAAACAAAAAGAAATATAAATATAATTAACAAGGCAAAATAAAATAATCCTTACAACTAATAAATAAAAAAGGATTCAAATTACAATGGCTCAAATGGTACAAGAACAGAAAAGGTAGCAACACTAGCACTTGCGCGGCTGAGCAAGCACATCTAACCTCGACAGACAAGGAGTTCCATAGTTGCGCAATCCGGTAAGAGAAGGAACGACAGAATTTAGCAGACCAGTGATGTGGTATTGTATAAATAAATCTTATTTATGAACAAGGTATGGAGGATACAGACACTTCCCTGTGTGAATAATTCTATAAATTAGACACAAATATTGCACACGGAATCTCTGTTTCATATTCAGCCAACCACTAGACATTAAAACGGGGGAAATATGATCTCTTCGTTTAACGCCATAAACAAGGTTTACAGTAAGAGTTTTGAACAACTTGCACCTTGCGCATTGATTCAAAAGACAAGCAAGAGCTAAAAACAACACTTCAATAATTGAAGTTGGACAAAACTAGGCTATCACATAATAAACGCTTGAGCTCAACAGACAAAAAATTACGACAGGAATACAAACGCTTTAAGGCACCAAAACTCAATTGACTGTCAATAATGACTCCCAAACTTTTAACCTCATCCAAAAAACGAATTGGTTTATCCAAAATGTCAATATGAACTCGAGACGCATCTACAAACCCACCACCTCTTTTGGAAAATATGATACCCTGAGTCTTATCAGGATTTATCCTCAAGCCATGATTACTAATTTCCGTGCACAGAATATTCAACTCGCCAGCAATAATACGAGACACATAGAAGGAATTTCATCGGGTTTAAAGCTGTTATATAATTGCGTGTCATTCGCATACAGATGATAAGAAAAACACTCAAGTTTTTAAAATAGATTGCAAGTGTAAATGATGAAAAGGACGGGGCCTAAAATAGAACCTTGAGGAACACCAGAAGAGCAGATCACAGGATCTGATAAAACAGAATTTAGCTTAACTGACTGAACCCTATTTGATAGATAGCTATCGAATAGCTTAACTGTATAAACATCCAATCCAATAAACTTCAAAATGCACAACAGGGGACTATGATCAAGGATGTCAAAGGCCTTAGTTAAATCAAGTAAAATTAATACTGTGGATTTACCCTGGTCCAGAGACCTGAGTACGAGGAGCGCAGTAGCACAACTGAACTGTCTCCTGAACCCGGACTGCTTAAGAAGCAAAATGCGATGTGTTTCCAGATAAATATTTAACTGCTCTATCATAAGTTTTTCTAAGATCTTTGAAAGAACTGGCAGGAATGGAAGCAAAGCACTGAATGAATCAAACAAAAATTGAAAAGATGTCGAATCATATCTAGGCTGATTCCATCAGATCCAACTCCCGTAGACCTTAGGTTGAATAAAAGACCTCACTAAATGCAAACATGGACGAAGCAGGACGCATCCTATTATTGTTATAAAAAGCTTCTTGCTTTTCAATCAATATTAGGAGTAATCAAGAAGTCACTTACACTATTACTAAAAAATGTGTTGATAACATTAGGATCTGACAAATGACAAGGCAACGAAATAGCGGAAAGATTTCAACACGTTAAACCTTCTCAGGTTTTTCCACAAACACTTAGAGACACCGCACACTACAGACACTTAATCGGCCGATAGTTTGGTCGGTCTTTTAATTGCCATTAGGGCATATATAAGTGCGCACACTCAAACGATTTGAATCTGCCGACAGTTAAGTTTAATATACAACTCGATTCCCTTTCAACTTCGTAATTTGCCAACTATTGGCCGACTGCTTAAACAGCACTAGTTTCTATGTACAGGCGCACACCCGGCGACTTTTCAGTCGGTAGGTAGCTGTCTTTGATTTGTATTGCAATCTGTCTTTCTTATCCTATAATGTCGCTGATTTTGGAAGAATTGATCGAAAATCTTATTGAAGGGGAGAAGAGGTCAGCGTTATATAAAAAAAAGTATGAAGGAATACTCGAACGTAAACATTAAATGGAAACTGTGGTTGGAAGGTTTTGAAGTAGCTCTTCCTGAATTTTACAATATTTCGTATTGTTGATGATCCAGTAAGATATTGGAATGACTAAGTTTGAAAACTAGATCCAGTTGCTAAATATCTGTAAAAGAATAGTGGTTTTATAATTGCAGGTAACGAGGTTCAAAAACGTTGGAATAACTTGCAGACTTGTTTTCGTAGGAAAACAAGTAACAAGGAACGCACAAAAAAACGAAATCAGGCCAGGGTGCCAGCAAGAGGCTCAAATATGTTTACTTCGATAAAATGTTATTTTTACTGTCATACTTTCCGATGATAATGATATTGAAGGCGACACTGAAAGTGGACCTCTTGCATCCACATCGTACAGCTATCGAATCAGCTATTGATGATGCAGACAAAGCATTGCTGCAAGCACTGGAAGACACAAAAACTGATGAAGACACCAACTTTGCTTTATCTATTATTCCTTCTCTCCGCGAACTTAGCCCAAAAGAGAAACTGGATGCTGAGATCGGAATATGAAATATATTTAAGCAGATCATAGCTAAGCGGCATCATCAGACAACTTCAGCATCGTATCAACACACAATAAATTACATATCTCAATCACATTTCTCTCCAGTACAGAATGTACTGGATATACAAAACATTACATCTCCAGGGTGTTCAAACAACACGGTCAACTCCTATTACTCAAATTTTGCTGATGATTCTGAATTAGTAAATTTTTCTAAAAGTAAAATAGAAAATAAACCTAAAGAACGAAAAATTCTCTCTTCGACAGATATCGCACGTCGTAAAATTGTATCCCATTTTGCTATGGCTGGTCCAATTAATTGAACAAGTTTATTAAAACTGGTAATGCTCATTCTATAAAAAGCAAAAAACTTTTTGGAATACTCTAGTAGTTTATAATACAGCGTGTGAAACTGTCCTCGCAATATTTCCGGTATCTGCACATATTATTTTTCTTCTTCCTTCGATTTATAATAAGGGCAATTATAACAGCTCTTCGCGACATCATGATAATCGACCGACTATCGTAGTCAGTGTGCGCATCTACTTCCGACCCGACAGTTTAGTTTGAACAGTGTGCGAGCGTTCAGTTAGAGTCACCGACGATTAAATTTTTTTCAAAAAATGTCTTTCTGCTGACTTCTAATCCTTTTATACTTAGCAAATGCCTCATTCCTTAGTTTAATCGTTTACCTGACATTCCAAGTGATCCATGGCAAAGCACGTTTTCTGATTACCTTAGTAATCACAGGCGCATGAAAATCAAATAAGGATAACATAGTATCATTAAAGCAATTCAGTTTGTCATCACTTGTATTAAGATCAAGGGCAGCCTCCTAATTCATCAATTGCAGATCTTTATTAAAGGCACGAACGTCAATACCACGGAGATCACGAAAACTAATAACTCTAGCCTTAGACTTAGTACTTATTGATATCGCTAAAACTAACAAGTAATCCGAGAACCCAACATCGACAGTGTCACAAACACGAAAAGGAAACTCATTTAATACAATAATAACATCAATGAGTGTTTCAGAAAAATTGGTTATACGAGTTGGCTGAGATTAATATTAAAGTCACCCAAAATTATTACTCTATCCATTGAGTTATCCTCTGACTGCTCTTTTTGGTATTATAATATTCGTTCAGCTCTTGGGGAATTTTTGAGCAACACACTATAAGACATAATGCTTTGGAAATTCGAGTAATACACAATAATCTCGTCACTGTTCTTAGCTGAAAAACTACTGAATTGAGTTTCTTTCCAACTTTATGCATCTGTGCATTCCATTTCAAAGAACTCTCTAGGAATACTTCCAGTAGTTTAATAGCTGTTGCATCAGTGGATTTAGTATGAAACTCAATTCTTTGTGTTTTTTTTTTCACTGGTAGTGATTCCGTCAAAACTGATGATATTGATAGCGCAGTATCAGTGCTTATGAGTTGTTTGGTTTCAAATACCCTTAAGTCCAAATTTTTCGATTTTGAGAAAACGGCAAAAAAGTATTTTGGGATGATTTTGGCGTTAATAATTCAAACATAATTTATTTGTTATTAGAAGACTTACTGAAGTTTCAAAAATTCTATAACCACGTCTTTTGAAATAGATATAAAAATCACAAAGTGGATTTAAAAATNAGCCGTCTGATAATAAATTCTCTCCCCCTTTATTTTTAGTTTGAACTATACAATGTAACATATTCACCTAGAAAAAGGAAAAAAACTTAAAATTAAATATTTATTTTTAAGTTAAAATTATTTTTTACCCCAGGTTTGTAATCGTAATAAGGTAAATCGGTGTGAAGTTGTAAAGGACTCGATAAATAAGCGACGTTATTTGTGTCTGCTTTAGCTACAATGTGGTAATCTTCCCTAAAATATACTCAAATTAATTTCATTTTTAAAAATTATTACTAAAACTACAACTAGAATCATTCGGGTTTAGCCGCACGTCTCAAGACGGCTAAACCGGAATGATTCTAGTTCTAGATTTTGTGTTAGTTCTAGTTTTACACTATCACTAGAACTAACACAAAATCTAGAACTAGAATCATTCAAGTTTAGCCGTCTTGAGAGACGTGAGGCTAAACCCGAATGTTTTTAGTTCTAGGTCTAGTTTTAGTTGTTATTCAACGTTAGATTATTGATTGTTATGATAATGTTCTGAAATGTTATAACTGAGTTTTGAAATAGTGATCATTAAAGTCGTTGGGTTGGTTTAGGGGACTAAGTAACATCACGTCATCAACCCTGATCATCAGCATCTCGAATGATGATCAGGATTGAAGACGTGATGTTGATTAGTGACCCAACCCAACGACTTTAATGATCACGTCATAAACCCTGATCATNTTTTATTAATTTAAAGAAATTATTTACGAAATAACTGGTGCTCGGTGTATTTTATAAAATCTAACACCGTCCTCTTCACCGATATCGGACCAATTCACTTCCGTTTGACTTAACAGATCGAAAGCTTCTTTATTTTCTTTTCTGAGCAACTCAGCTACGTAAAAGCCGTCTGATAATAAATTCTCTCCCCCTTTATTTTTAGTTTGAACTATACAATGTAACATATTCACCTAGAAAAAGGAAAAAAAATTAAAATTAAATATTTATTATTAAGTTAAAATTATTTTTTACCCCAGGTTTGTAATCGTAATAAGGTAAATCGGTGTGAAGTTGTAAAGGACTCGATAAATAAGCGACGTTATTTGTGTCTGCTTTAGCTACAATGTGGTAATCTTCCCTAAAATATACTCAAATTAATTTCATTTTTTAAAATTATTACTAAAACTAGAACTAGAATCATTAGGCTAGTTCTAGGATTAGTCATAGTTTTAGTGATAAGGTTAATTCTGGTTCTAGTTTTATTTCAATAACAACTTTACGCTGAATAATAACTAAAACTAGAGCTAGCACTAAACTTAGAACTAGAAACATTCGGGTTTAGCCGCACGTCTCTCAAGACGGCTAAACCCGAATGATTCTAGTTCTAGATTTTGTGTTAGTTCTAATTTTAGTTCACTAATAATACACAACCTAGCACTATGTAGTGCTAACTAGTGTTACGTACTAGACCTGTTACTAGACCTAACACAAAATCTAGAACTAGAAACATTCAGGTTTAGCTGCACGTCTCTTAAGACGGCTAAACCGGAGTGATTCTAGTTCTAGATTTTGTGTTAGTTCTAGTGATAGTGCAAAACTGTAACTAACACTAGACCTAGAACTAGAATCATTCGGGTTTAGCCGTCTTGAGAGACGTGAGGCTAAACCCGAATGTTTCTAGTTCTAGATTTAGTTTTAGTTGTTATTCAACGTTAGATTATTGACTATTATTACAATGTTCTGAAATGTTATAATTGAGTTCTTAAATAATGATCATTAAAATGGTTGGGTTAGTTTAGGTGACTAAGCAACATCACGTCATCAACCCTGATCATCAGCATCTCGAATGATGATCAGGATTGAAGACGTGATGTTGCTTAGTGAGCCAACCCAACGACTTTAATGATCACATCATCAACCCTGATCATCAGCATTTCGAATGATGATCAGGATTGAGGACGTGATGTTGCTTAGTGACCCAACCCAACAACTTTAATGATCACGTCATCAACCCTGATCATCAGCATCTCGAATGATGATCAGGATTGAAGACGTGATGTTGCTTAGTGACCCAACCCAACCCAATGACTTTAATGATCACTATTTAAGAATTTAAGACCTTAGTTAGTATCGTTAAGATTTTGAATTATGATCAAGATTATCGGTTTTTCTTTAAAATCATCTTCATGATAATTATTCTCATTGTGCCTAGTCGTTCTTGTTTGAAGATTAAATTGATTACACAAAGTAGTTGATGCTCAAAAGCTCCCCATGTTATTTTATGGATAACGATGTATCGCAAAAATTGAAAATTAATTGAGCTTTTGATTCTGAACTGATTTCTTTATTTTTGATATTTTTATTATATCAAAATATCCGAATTATTATACTTTCAAATTTTGATGAAGTTTCGTCACCTTAGTTATGATTTGATGAAGTTTCTTAAGTAATATTGAGTTTCTAGATGATTTTCGCGAAGTTTTGTGGAATATATTAAGTTTTGGCTATAATTTGAAGGTTTGATAAATAAAGTTTCTTTGATTTGGATAGATTTCGATGAAGTTTTTTAAGATAATATAAAATTTTGTAATGAAAGTTAATGTTAAAGTGAAGTTTTTTTGCTTGATAAGAAATTTTTACTTCATACTAATAGTTTAAAGTTATAATTTCAAATTTAGATGAAGCTTCATCAACTCGATTAGAATTTAATGAAGTTTTTCGAGTTAACATTAAATTTTTAGATCAAAATTACGATTTTCGCGAAGTTTTCTGGAATATGTTAGTTTCATTGAAGTTTCCTAGCTCGATAATAAAGTTGTAGCTATAATTTGAACGGTAGGTGAATGAAGCTTCATTGATTTGGTTAGGTTTCGATGTAGTTTTTTGAGATAATATAAAATTTTGTAACCAAAGTTAACGTTAAAGTGAAGTTTTTTTGCTCGATAAGAAATTTTTGCTTGATATTAATAACTTATAGTTATAATTTCATAATTTCAAATTTAGATGAAGCTTCATCAAGTTAATTAGGATTTGATGAAGTTTTTCGAGTTAACATTAAATTTTTTGACCAAAATTACGATTATCGCGAAGTTTTCTGGAATATCTTAGTTTCATTGAAGTTTCCTCATTTAATAGTATAGTTTTGGCTGTAATTTTAAGAAGAGAATTATATTCGAAATCCATTTTACCAGTACTTGTTAATAATTAGTAGAAATAACATACAGGATGTCAGATAAAAAACGCCCCAAGCTGTAACTCTATCATTTACATTCCGATTTTCATGAACGAGGTATCAAATGAAATGGTTTGATGACTACTATGATTCATGCTACGTTGGAAAAACTTTATTTGTGGCATGAATCATAGTATTCATCAAACCTTTTCATTTGATTCCTCGCTCATGAAAATCGGAATGTAAATGACAGAATTACAGCTTGCGGCATTTTTGTGTGACAACCTGTATATACAGGTGTCTTTTCTCTGCTAATATCACATTTAAAATGAATGTATTGTACATCAATGGATTTAGAAAAACAAACTCTATTCAATGACGCGAAGAAAAATATACGCTGCAATTTGAAAAGCAAAAGTTAATATTGCTTGAAATTGAAGATGGCGTTGGAAAAAATTTATTTGTAGCATGAATCATAGTATTCTTCAAACCATTTAATTTGATACCTCGCTCATGAAAATCGGAATGTAAATGACAGAGTTACAGCTTGGGGCGTTTTTTATCTGACACCCTGTATAAAGCTTTTTTGTACTTTCAAAACTGGCCTTTAATTAAGTAAGAAACATGAGCCTTACTAGTGTTTTAGAACGTTCTAAGTTTTTAAAATGTTAACATGGTCGTAAATTATACTTTAATCATTTATATATTATCTTATAACTTTAGAGAATTTTAATAATGTAAACTTGATATTTGATATTTTAATCTACTATTGCATCCTAAAAACTAGTCTCTGAAGATGGCTATTAGCTAAAACTAGTAAGATTCATGTTTATTATTTAATTAAAGACCAGCTTTGAAGTACAAAAAAGCTTTATACAGGTGAGTTATTAGTATTATTACTAAATCGTTTGAAAAACAAAAAAATTTTTTCTACAAAAGTTGTTTGATACATCACTTTCTATTACCTATAATTATTTTCACTTATACAGGATGTTCCATTTAAGCGTAACGGAGAGTACGTAAATTTATTAAAATGGGGTACCCTGTATATTTTATCATATTATGAATACAACTAAATTTGTTAATACAACCGTATATGTTACTATTTCACAGCATTCATAGTTCCTGAGATATTCAATTGTTCTTCCGAAATGTACCTATTACAGGATCTTTTTGAAAACGATGTAAAAACGACATTTTTTCGGATTTTGCCTTGAAACTAAGTCAAACAATAGTCAAAGCTATTAGGTAGATGATAGTATTCAAAGATATTAGATACACTGTACAGGGTGTTTATAAAGTTTAATTACTTTTGATGTTTTTCAAATGGCTTTTTCTTAGGTTTTTTAAATGGAACATCCTGTATATTGTATGCTAGTTGAAATGCTCATCAAGTTCCCTTTAATTAATGATAAGTATGTCATATGTCTAACTTTAATAGTTTTAAATATTAATTAAATTAATAGCTACTTGTTGAGCAACGTTTAGTAATTGTTTATAGTTTGTTGCTGCATTTCCTTGAAATAATAATTTACTAATTAAAAAAGGGATTTATTGTTCTGTCATTAATTGTATTTTTATCACGTTTTGATTATTTATTTATTAAAGTTTATTTTTAAATTGTATTTTAATATAATATTACTGATTTACAAATGACAGACAAACAAAAAAAAGTGACAAAGAAAGGACACAATATATTACATTCTGTCACTTTTTTAAATACAATAATGATAATTTTATTACACATTCATATTTAAATTCTAAATATCAGGAAAACTACTAAAGTTAGACATATGACATACTTACCATTAATTAAAGGTAACTTGATGGGCAATTCAACCAGCACATAATATACAGAGTGTTCCATTTAAAAAAACATCAAAAATAACTAAGCTTTATGAACACGCTGTATAGCGTATCTAATATCTTTGGACACTATCATTTACCTATTGGCTTTGACTATTATCTGACATAGTTTCAAGGCAAAATTGGAAAAAATTTACATCGTTTTTTAAAAAGATGCTGCAATGGACACGTTTTGGAAAAACAATTGAATATCTTAGGAACTAAGAACGCTATGAGTTAGTAACATATACGGTTGTATAAACAAATAGAATTCTATTCATAATATAAAATATACAGGGGGCTCCATTTAAAAAAATGTACATACTCTCCGTTGCTCCTAAATGGAACACCCTGTATAAGTGAAAATAATTTTAGATAATAGAAAGTGGTGAGTCAAACCACTTTTGTATAAAACATTTTTTTCTTTCTTAAACGGTTCAGCAACTATCGTCCGACGGGATACTAATAAATCACCCTGTATACAGGGTGGTTCAGATTTTAATCGGAAAACTTTACTAGAATATGTTAATATAGGGAAGCTTAAGGTATGCTTAAAAAGTTATAATTTAATTTCATCACCTCAAATACGAATTGATGAGTTAATAATTAAATTTTTACGATTTTCGCGAAGTTTTCTAGAATGTGTTAGATTCATTGATGTTTAAAATTTAAAGTTTTACAGTATTTGCTTACCCATAATGAGTTTTTTTAATAAAAGCAATCTTTTTCGATATTTTTTTGCACTCCATCGCATCTTTTGGGGCATTTTTAAGTAGAACGACTCCGTATGTTGATAAATCCATTAACCAATTATAAAATTTCTCATCCCTATAACAAATTTTAATAATAAATAGTAAACAAATAGATTTTAGGGTCAACAATATCATCAATGTGCATTCTTTACGAAATTCCTTTGCCTTTAACCTCTCTTAACCTTAGATTAAATTAAAACTTATCGTAAAATTGTTTATAAATTCAAATCATAACTTACTTTGTCATAATATCCTCGTATTCGTATACTTTCATGACATCTAAAAACTGTTGGTTGCTCCATAATTTCTTTTGAGGTATATAAAGATTTTTCAAATAAAATTCTTGATCCTCTTTCGAAAAGCTGCGACTTTTCAACCAATCGAACGAATAAATCGATTTGTGGTTATCACTCCAATTAATTTCGACTTTTTGATTCTCATCTTTTGCCTAAAAATGAGATCCAAACTAAAATCTTAATAAATAATGATTATTTATTTACCTGTAATGATCTAACTTTAACATTAACATCGAATTCATTCCAGTTGATAATTCTCGATTGCGAAGGTCCATGAAAACACGTATTACAACGACAATTATCTCTCAACCAAACTAACGGAAAATGATCGATTTTATTGTCGTAATTAACGACGAGGCTTTCTTGGTCGCTGGATACTTTTGCCAAACCACTAAGAAACCGGAAATTCACTTTACTAATTGTCGATTTGTTGATTAATTTGAATAGTTTTGTTGAACTCATTTTGTTATTGAAACTATTTTTGTTATAAAATAAGATATTTTGAATTCGGTTAAGGAGGTAAATTAAGAGAGTTCTTTGAGTGTATCCGGGTGACTTATATTGTATCGTTATCTAATTAATGTGACGTGTTGTTGTTCAGGATTGGATTTAGATTTATAATCAATTTCTCTAAATGGCATTTTCTATAATTTTATAATTTTTGTTTCAGATTGAGGAAATAACACCATAAAATGAACGTTGTTGATTGCTATACACAAAGAGAGAGAAAATGGCAAGAAATAAGGAGAATTAAACCAGAAAATGACAAATAAAGCAAAGCCATTTAGAGAAATGGTCTACACTCACCTTTTTCGAATCTTTAAATGAGTGAAAAGATAAAAAAGACTTTCTTGGCGATTTTTATCTAAGCCCTTCAACCAAAACAACGTATCAGTTATTATTGCTTAAAAACATTTAAACTTAATTAAGATATGAAATCTTTATATCCTACAGAAACGTTTGAGGTTAGGAAAAAATGTCAATTTGACGTTTGTTGAAAATGAGGTTAGAATAAAAAATTATTTTCTCAAAAATGGTTAGGAATTAAGAAATTAAACTTTTTGAGGTTATAAAGGAACGTTTGAGGTTAGCTTATACCTAATTATAAGCTACCAGGGGGGTCGGTAATTCATTTTATATAAAATTTAAAAGTTGGCAATTTGATGCTTGTTGAAGGTGAGGTTAAAAAAAAATTAATTTCTCTAAAAGTATTAGGATAGAAATAATGAAACTTTTTGAGGTTATAAAGGAACGTTTGAGGTTAGGTTATACCAAATTATAAGCTTCCAAGTTGAATAGTTCATTTTATATTAATTTATTAAAATTGTCAAATTGACGTTTGTTGAAAATGTGATTAGAGTAAAAAATTATTTTCTCAAAAATGGTTAGGAATTAAGAAATTAAACATTTTGAGGTTATAAAGGAACGTTTGAGGTTAGGTTATATCTAATTATAAGCTACTAGGGTCGATAATTCATTTTATATAAAATTTAAAAGTCGGCAATTTGACGTTTGTTGAAAGTAAGGTTAAAGAAAATAATTATTTTCTCTAAAAGTATTAGGATAGAAATAATGAAACTTTTTGAGGTTATAAGGGAACGTTTGAGGTTAAGTTATACCAAATTATAAGCTTCCAAGGTGAATAGTTCATTTTATATTAATTTATTAAAATTATCAATTTGACGTTTGTTGAAAATGTGGTTAGAGTGAAAAATTATTTTCTCAAAAATGGTTAGGAATTAAGAAATGAAACTTTTTGAGGTTATAAAGGAACGTTTGAGGTTAGATTGTACCTAATTATAAGCTTCCAGGGTGGGTAATTCATTTTAAATAAAATTTAAAAGTTGGCAATTTGATGTTTGTTGAAAATGAGGTTAAAGAAAATAATTATTTTCTCTAAAAGTATTAGGATAGAAGTAATGAAACTTTTTGAGGTTATAAAGGAACGTTTGAGGTTAGGTTATACCTAATTATAAGCTTCCAAGGTGAATAATTTTATATTTATTTATAAAACTTGTCTATTTGACGTTTGTTGAAAATGAGGTTAGAGTTTTTGAGGTTATAAAGGAACGTTTGAGGTTAGGTTACACCTAATTATAAGCTTCCTGCGTGAGTTATCATTTCAATAAATTTTTATGTCATCGTTCATTTTATATTAATTTATTAAAATTATCAATTTGAAGTTTGTTGAAAATGTGGTTAGAGTAAAAAATTATTTTCTCAAACATGGTTAGGAATTAAGAAATGAAAGTTTTTGAGGTCATAAAGGAACGTTTGAGGTTAGATTATACCTAATTATAAGCTACCATGGTCGGTAATCCATTTTATATAAAATTTTAAAGTTGGCAATTTGATGTTTGTTGAAAGTGAGGTTAAAGAAAATAATTATTTTCTCTAAAAGTATTAGGATATAAATAANCTGTTGTTGTGGTCTATGCGTTGCTGTGTATTTGTAGAGGTTATATCGTAGACGTATTCATATTATTTTTGAAGTTTTATGTTTTTAGACGTATTAATGTCTATCATATAACCTTTAAAAACACAGACAGTTACCAGGCGTGGCAAATACTGTGACGTAGATGGCGGGCAACCAACCCGTAGTGGGCTACAAAAATACAATGCATGTAGCAGTCCTGTTAGATTCTACTGTCCTTGGGTTACACCTAATTATAAGCTTCTTGCTTGAGTCATTCATTTTTAATACATTTTTATGTCATCAATTTGACGTTTGTAAAAAGTGAGGTTAAAAAAAAATATAATTTTTTCAAATAGTATAGATGTAACAAAGGAAACTTTTTGGGGTTATAGAGCGTTAAGAATTAAGCAGGTACGTTTAAAAAATCGTTAATCAACATTCTTTTCCCAACCTTTTCTCCATTCTCCCCACATTTGGCGATTAATTTAATTCATTTAATATTAAAATTCATTAAAACAGTGTTTTTCCAGAAGAGATAGTAAACCCTCCTCTGCAACATTCATTTGACGATCCTAGAAATCCAGTTTTCGTACCGAGCATAATATTATACCTACTTGATATCAGAGGAGTTACAACTTTGTACAAGCTTTTCCACACTAACTCTAAGATACGTTCCTAATCCCATCTTTGTTTTCAGATCGACCAATAGTTGACTTAACACGCTTGGTGCTATAAAGGTAGTTATTTACCAACCAACAGAGATAGTACCAGTTCAAGAACTCAAGTAAGAAATTCTGCTAGAGTCTCGTTTGACAATAACTCACTTTGGAAACTTATAATTGAGTATAACGTAATCTTGGAATTTTACACAAAGTTTAGGTGGATCCAATTGTAACGTTTAAAGAAGGGGGCCCTACCCCCTCTAAAAAGATATGTCGCATCAAGGTGACAAAGAATCGAGTGTTGTAGCAGCAATTTTTAAATCTGTAATGGAAAAGACAGAAAGAATCACTCAACAGTGATTAACACTTAGTAGTGTTTGGCAGCAGTATATAGTCTTCTAAAAGCATTAAATAGTCTTTACCAACAATATCTAGCTTTCTCCAAGCAGTTAGTAATGTTTCCAAAAATATTTAGCATTCTGAAAGTAGTTAATAGTCTTTTGAAAATGGTATCTTGTCTTTCCAAGCAGATGATAGTTACTCCCAGCAGTATTTAGTTTTCTCCAAGCAGGTCGTAATCTTTTCTAGTAGTATATAACCCTCTGAAAGCAGTAAGTAGTCTTATGGAAGCAGTATCTCGTCTTTCCAATCAGTTTGTAGTTGTTTGTTAGCACTATCTAGTCTTCTCCAAGCAGATTGTTATCTTTTCCACCAGTATCTAGCATTTTGGAAGCAGTAGGTACCTTTTTTTGAAGAGCATATCTCTTCTTTCCAAGCAGTTATTAGTCTTTTCCAGCAGTAGCTAACATTCTAGAAGCAGTAGGTGACTTTTTGGAAAGCATATTTCTTTTCCAAACAATTATTGAAGTCTTTGAAAGCAATAAGTAGTCAGTAAGTAGGAAGCAGTATTTCGCCTGTCCAAGTAGGTCAAAACGTTTAAGAGCAGTGTTTAGCGTCCTGGAAACAATAGGTATTATTTTGAAAACAGTATCTAGTCTTTTCCAAGTAAGTTGTGGTTTTTTTCTGCAGTATTTAGCATTTTAGAAGCAGTAAGTAGTAGCAGTTGCCAGTTTTTAGTCTTGGACTAGCAGTATTTAATCTTCTGATAGCAATAATTAGTCTTTTGCCAACAGTATCTAGCATTCAGGCGTTGAGTTCTATGAGTTCTAGGCCTCGTGGTCCAGTACACCATCATCTCAACTGATCATTAAGTGAAGGGAAGTCAGTGTGGACTAGAATTGGGTGCAATTCAATTTTAACATACAATACCTAATACATAATAGATAAAATATCACAGAAGTTACAACCAAAAGAGATGATTGAACACAGAAAATGGATCTAACAATAAGAAGTTTCCAGAGTGAACAACCTTCATTTTGAACAAACGCAATTTGAAGAGGATGGATGATTAATTTTCGTAAGTATTTTTAATTTGATTTTTATTTTTATTCAAAATAATTTAATTACGGCTCTGTATTCGGGATATCATCAGACGATGTCTGAATCGGACACATCATATAAATGGCGTTACGAATCTCTCCAATAGTAACAAAGTACACGTCCAAAGCGGATGTAAATACATCAGACCACAGCACATTGCTCTTTAAATATAGTTACAAAAAAGTTTTTTTTTGTCATCGTTATCTAATTCAGTCACTTAAACAAAAACGATAAGGGTTACCAAAAACGGAATAAAACAAATTATTATGTTAAAAGATAAAAACAATTTTTTAGCATTCGTTTAAAATTTTTTATTGCGTTTAAATACATCCAAAAAGTATTTTTTTTAGTTTGCATAAACACAGTTTAGTTTACAACGAGTATAATAATGTTTATTGTTTTTTTTTACATATACATACACATATTTTTAGTACTTTTATTTATAGGGTTTGCATATTAATGGAATTAAAATAAATCCAGGAAATTTATGACGTTCATAAATCGATAAAACAAAAATAGGTTTATATTTATTATGTTTTTCTTATTTAACTATATTTTAGTAGTTAAAAAGTTAACAAAAAGTTTTTTTTTAGTTTTAGTCATTTATTATTTTAAAATTTTAAAGTTTTAAATTCTCAAATGATTGTCGAAATTGACATATTGACTTTATTTTAATATTCCTCTTAGCTTAAACTTAAAATTTATTTGGTCAATTCATCAAAATGAAACGAAATTTTTTTTTTGATATGTTTTGAATCAAAAATTAATCACAGATTTATCTTAATAGAAGATCTGATAAATGCAAACATTGAATATTTACTCCTTAATACATAATTGTTGCCAGTAGCTTCTTTTTTATAAACACCCAAAAAACAGGTATATTTAGCACGCTAAACACATAATACTAATACATTAATTAATACACACCCTGTATTAATTCAATTTTTTTTAAACAATTTGTGCTTTACTCAAAACAATTTTTTTTATTGTGGAAAAGAAAATAATATTTGTGCCCATCAAAAAAGTCAGTCTTAATTTTTTTTATAGAATCATTTAAAAAAAATCAAAGACGGTTGAATCTAAGACGAATGCTACATCCCGACCCGATCGTGACGTCACGCATGGGTACTATTTCTCACTTTGAATTAGAAAATGCTTTTTAGTCGTTTAAAACTAGAGCTAACACAAGATTAAACTTCATCTAAATTTGGAATTATAACTATAAGTAATTAGTGTGACGTAAAAATTTCTTATCGAGCAAAAAAAAACTTCAGCGAATCTGACCAAATCAAAGAAACTTCATTCATCAAACCTTCAATTATAGCAAAAATATTTAGTATTTATTATTACCCTTTGTGTCCCGACGGTACTTTAAAGTAACGGTAGTTTTAAACACTCATTTTAAACTGTAGTCATCTATTCGGCGCATTTAGAGCTGTCGGTACTTTCTACTATACAAGAAAGAATCTGTATAAAAAATGACACAATCCGCACTGTAGGGTTTTTAGGTATATTTAAACTTATTCGTCCAGATGTGAGGTTAAAAGTTTAGTGAAAAGTGGTGTTGTTGAATTTTGTTGTTCAAAAAGGTATCTCTTTGATAAATGGTTATTAGGTGTGATTATTACAGATCATTTTAAAAAGAAAGCATTGAGATTTAATTTAAAATAAGTCTTATACCTTAATTACAATAAATACGGCTTCCAGGAATTTTTAAATCAGCATCTTTTTTTGACACTTTTAGGTTATACGAAAATGTAAATTTTATTGCCACATTTTTTTTCTCAATATTTTTCCAGTCCAACCCAACAATTATTATACATCATTTTAAAGAGAAAACTTTGAGCTGTAATTTAAAATAAGTATCATTCCTTAATTTCAATAAATACGGCTTCCAGGAATTTTTAAATTAGCATCATCTTTTTTGACACTTAGGTTATACGAAAATGTAAGTTTCCTTTCAACATTCTTTTTCTTCATATTTTTCCAATCCAACCCAACAATTATTATACATCATTTTAAAGAGAAAGCTTTGAGCTTTAATTTAAAATAAGTCTCATTCCTTAATTTCAATAAATACGGCTTCCAGGAATTTTTAAATTAGCATCTTTTTTGACACTTTTAGGTTATACGAAAATGTAAGTTTTGTTTCAACATTTTTTTTCTCAATATTTTTCCAATCCAACCCAACAATTATTATACATCATTTTAAAGAGAAAGCTTTGAGCTTTAATTTAGAATAAGTCTCATTCCTTAATTTCAATAAATACGGCTTCCAGGAATTTTTAAATTAGCATCTTTTTTGACACTTTTAGGTTATACGAAAATGTAAGTTTTGTTTCAACATTTTTTTTCTCAATATTTTTCCAATCCAACCCAACAATTATTATACATCATTTTAAAGAGAAAGCTTTGAGCTTTAATTTAGAATAAGTCTCATTCCTTAATTTCAATAAATACGGCTTCCAGGAATTTTTAAATTAGCATCTTTTTTGACACTCTTAGGTTATACGAAAATGTAAGTTTTATTTCAACATTTTTTTTCTCAATATTTTTCCAATCCAACCCAACAATTATTATACATCATTTTAAAGAGAAAGCTTTGAGCTTTAATTTAAAATAAGTTTCATTCCTTAATTTCAATAAATACGGCTTCCAGGAATTTTTAAATTAGCATCTTTTTTGACACTTTTAGGTTATACGAAAATGTAAGTTTTATTTCAACATTTTTTTTCTCGATATTTTTCCAATCCAACCCAACAATTATTATACATCATTTTAAAGAGAAAGCTTTGAGCTTTAATTTAGAACAAGCCTTATTAAAGCTGAGGATTTCTTCTTTAAAACAACACATAACAGATGTTGGGTTAGATTATAAAAATTTTGGGAAAAATGTCATTAAGTTGTCTTGGGTTTTTTAAAACGTCACAATAAAAGGGGAACATTGAAAAATTCTGGAAGGGTTGTTCTTGCAAATTAAGAAAGGATTTTGATTTCAGATTAAAGCTCAAGATTTCTTTTATAAAATAAAATATAATACTTGTAGGATTAGATTATAAAAATTTTGAGAAAAAAATCATGAAGTTGTGTTGCTTTTCTCAAAACGTAAAAATAAAGAGAAATTTTAAAAAATTCTGGAAGGGTTGTTCTTGGATATTATGAAAGAATTTTGATTTCAGGTTAAAGCTGAGGATTTCTTCTTTAAAACAACACATAATAGATGTTGGGTTAGATTATACAAATTTTGAGAAAAATGTCATTAAGTTGTCTTGGGTTTTTTAAAACGTCACAAAAAAGGGGAACATTGAAAAATTCTGGAAGGGTTGTTCTTGCAAATTAAGAAAGGATTTTGATTTCAGATTAAAGCTCAAGATTTCTTCTATAAAATAAAATATAATACTTGTAGCATTAGATTATAAAAATTTTGAGAAAAAGATCATGAAGTTGTGTTACTTTTCTCAAAACGTAAAAATAAAGAGGAACTTTAAAAAATTTTGGAAGGGTTATTCTTGGATATTATGAAAGAATTTTGATTTCAGCTTAAAGCTGAAGATTTCCTCATTAAAACAACACATAACAGATGTTGGGTTAGATTATAAAATAATATATAATAAGTTTTGTTTCAACATTTTTTTTCTCAATATTTTTCCAATCCAACCCAACAATTATTATACATAATTTTAAAAAGAAAGCTTTGAGCTTTAATTTAGAATAAGTCTCATTTCTTAGTTTCAATAAATACGGCTTCCAGGAATTTTTAAATTAGCATCTTTTTTGACATTTTTAGGTTAAACGAAAATGTAAGTTTTATTTCAACATTTTTTTAAAAATATTTTTCCAATCCAACCCAACAATTATTATACATCATTTTAAAGAGAAAGCTTTGAGCTTTAATTTAAAACAAGTTACATTCCTTAATTTCAATAAATACGGCTTCCAGGAATTTTTAAATTCGCATCTTTTTTGACACTTTTAGGTTATATGAAAATGTAAATTTTATTTCAACATTCTTTTTTAAATATTTTTCCAATCCAACCCAACAATTATTATACATCATTTTAAAGAGAAAGCTTTGAGCTTTAATTTAGAACAAGTCTTATTCCTTAATTTCAATAAATACGGCTTCCAGGAATTTTTTAATTTGCATCTTTTTTGACACTTAGATTATACGAAAATGTTAGTTTTTGCTCAATATTTTTTTTCTCAATATTCTATCAGATTTCCGTCGTTCTGTAGCTACAGGTCTGATAACTAAATATTCAAATTTACTGCGTCCACGAAAATGTCGTAGCGCAAGTTCAAAACGAAGAGGAAGTTGTAAAAATTGTTCTGCTAAATTTGAAATTATAACTTTAAATTATTAGTATGAAGTAAAAATTTAAATTAAGATAATTATACCTTCTAATTATATTATAAATAATATATTATTATATTGTAATTATATTTATGTATATAATTAAATCAAAGGAACTTCATTCATCAAACCTTCAAATTATAATTACTAAGATGTAGGTTAGGAGAACTGTACCATTTATGGCAATTTCAGAAAAAGTCGTTACGCATTAAGATCATCCTAATAGACAGTAGTTAAAAAGTAAGTGCATTACAGCAATGCACATTTAATCTTTTATTATCTTTAGCATCGTTTCATATTTAAACGAGCCTATGAACTATATGATCACAAATACGTTACTTTCAAAGTATTTAATAACATTATAACCATAAATTGAGGCTAAGCATGTTTTTACGTGGCTATAAGTGAATTAGTGTAAACCCAGTTTTAATACTTTAATGGATTTTGAACAACTCTGTTTTATTTACAAGACTCTGTTACTATGGCTGAGAAAAATAAACGGAACTGGTTCAGTACCTACTCTCCATTAAAAGTTTCCCAGGGGTTGAAGGCTATAGAAAATGGAATGCTGAAGATACCGAAAGCTTTTTTGTACTTCAGAATTGGTCTTTAATTAAATAATTAACATCAAACTTACTAGTTTCGGCTAATAGCCATCTTCAGAGACTAGTTTTTAGAGTGCAATAGTAGATTAAAATATCAAATATCAAGTTATAAGTTATTAGATAAAATATAAATGATTAAAGTATAATTTACGACCACGTAAACATTTTAAAAACTTAAAACGTTCTAAGAAACTTAATTAAAGACCAGTTTTAAAAGTACAAAAAAGCTTTATATATTATTTCTACTAATTATTAACAAATACTGGTAAATTATCTGTTTTGTATACACAACATTTCACAAACATTAATATTTGTTATAATTAGCTGTCAACAATTTCGCATGTTTGTATTCATTTCAATATTGTCATTTCAAAGCTAATCAACAAAAGATGGCGCTAGTGCGAAATTAGAAATTTTTTAATTACAAATTGAAAGGTTAATTTATGAAATCTGTGATACATGTTAAAGTCACTTCATAATAAATTTCCTTTGGAGGTAAATATAATATAAATATAACAAAAACATTTTCCGGATTGTAAAAGAAAAATGTAGCACTCCTTTTAGATACAATCGTCCTTGAAAAAAAAAATACACTTTTTATTAATTAGTAATTAGTTACTACCAACCTCGAAATAAAAACGAAATTTAAAATATCCCATTAAAAACCCCAAATAATTAAATGAAAAGCCGAAAATTTTTAATAAAACTAAATCGGCAGTTTCTCTAGTAAAGTTCATCATCTACCTTCTTAATTATCATATTCTTGTCGTATTTAGTTTCGGTTAACAACAACGTTTTTAACGGAAGTAGTACAATTACAAATAGCCGTAAATATTCTAGTTGCAAAAGTCCTCGCCGACGTCCTGGCCCTATTCGACCACTGTCCGATGCGTTTCGTGCCATCTATCGAAAAATAAAATCATTAAAAAAAAATTAAGTATAATTTACAACAGATGGCGCTAATCGGGTCTAAACGGCCTAATTTTCGTGGCTATTTTAAGGAGACGCTTAAATCAATAAATTTCAAAATAAAAACAAAATTATACTCACTTTGTATTCCATTATCCTGGTTGTTGTTTAAAAAGGCAACAAAAATATGTTATAAATGTCAAGGTTAATTTTTTTAACTTACTAATTTACTTTTTTGTTTCTGCCTGGATTGAGCTTCGATTTTAGCGGCCTCTAAAAGGTCGTTAATAAACCCGTTTACATCCCTCATCATCTCCGGGTCATTTTTAAACTCTTGAACGCGAAGTTCCATCGGTTTATTCAATTCCAACGTTAAATTCGCCATTTTAATTCACTTTTTTATTATTATTTATGTTCGAATTTCGCGCAATTATCCCGTTTTGAATCTGATCTTTAATCTTTTTTCGATAAGACGTGTGTTTACCGGGACTACCGCGATTGATTGTAAATTCTAACCTCACTTTCGTTCGTTTTTCACTTAATTATGCATTTTCGCACGGAAAATTATAGATGGCGCCACATTTATTATAACTAAATAAAATGATAGGTTAAAAAATTAATTCTTTTTGGATTATTTATTTTATTCTACAAAAAAAATGAAATGAAATCAAAACTCAAAAATAATTTTTGTATCCATTTCTTCATTCTTTATTTTTATAGTCTTTTGATTCGTTTTTTCGAGAGTATTTAGATTTATCCCAATATTTTACATCCTTTTCATCCTTTTAGATTCTAGTTCTATATAGTGTTTGTTCTAGTTTTACACTATCACTAGAACTAAAACTAGAACGAGATCTAAAAACATACGGGTTTAGTCGTGAAAAATACTTTCAGGTGTCAATGTCAACTTTAATTTTATTATTACATTCGTAATCTTCATTAAATTACCTTTAAAGTGAGTCCAAACTTGACGCATTTATCTCAAAAAACCAAAAAGTTCAAATTTTTAACTTTTAATTTTGACATATTTTTCAGCTTCATAAAAAATCCTTTAAAATGAATCCAAACTCGACATATTTAACTTTAATATTAACGTAAATACAATCACTTCCGGTTTGAAACGTCAACGTCAATTTTGACATATTTGTCATCTTCATTAAAAAACCTTTAAAATGAGTCCAAAGATGACGCACTTATCTCAAAAAACAAAAAAGTTAGAATAAAAAACATTAAACCCGAAGTTAGCTACAATGAAGATAGCAATTTAATTTTTAAATATTAATACCAACCTTAATTTTTTATTTTTGTTTTTGTGACAAATATTAAGACATTTTATAAAAATTAAGAATATGTCAAAATGACATTGACATTTCAAACCGGAAGTTGTTTATATCGTGGCGTCCCATGAA